TCCGCCGCCAGACCCTCCGCGAGGTCTCCATCCTCCGCCGCACGGACTCCCCCCACGTCATCCGGTGCCACGGCGTCTTCGATCTCCCCGGCGGCGACATCGCCATCTGTATGGAGTACATGGATGCCGGCACCCTCGACACCCTCCTCAAAGAGAAAAGCGTCGTCTTCACAGAGCGCCTCCTCTCCCAGATCTGCCGACAGGTGCTCGGCGGCCTCGAGTACCTCCACGCTCACAAGATCATCCACCGCGACCTCAAGCCCTCCAACATACTCGTCAATCGGGCGATGGAGGTCAAGATTTCGGATTTCGGGGTGAGTAAAGTTATGCAGAGGACCCTAGACCCCTGCAATTCGTACGTGGGCACCTGCGCTTACATGAGCCCGGAGCGGTTCGACCCGGATACTTACGGATCGAGCTACGACGGGTACGCCGGGGACATCTGGAGCCTCGGCCTGACCCTGCTAGAGCTGTACGTGGGTCATTTCCCGTACTTGGAGCCAGGTCAGAGGCCGGACTGGGCAACACTAATGTGCGCTATCTGCTTTGGGGAGCCGCCGAGCTTGCCGGAGGGCACGTCCGAAGATTTCAGAAGCTTTATTGAGTGCTGTCTGCAGAAGGACTCCAGTAAAAGGTGGAGCGCCAAGCAGCTGCTGACGCATCCTTTTGTTAGAGGTGTTGAGCCGAAATGATATTTTGGAATCTCGCGTGAGGCGAACTGATTGTTTTAGGAACTTTGCTGTACATAGCGAAATAGTTTGTTGTTCTATTTACTTGGTATCGAATGTGAAGATGATCTGAATCTGTCCTTTGAACAAAGTAAGAGACCGGTTTTCAGATATAAATTGCTGATAGAAATTGGGGAGGCATGTTTTAGGGTAAAATTAGAAATGTGAGATAAGTTGAGTTTGGTTGCTAAAACTTAAAGTAGCTCAAAGTTGAAATAGCTCAAAGTTGAAAGAAGTAGTTTAAATCATAGTATTATTTAAGAGCATCTTGTGTTCATGTTTTTTTCTTTAGCTCGAGTGTCCTAAAATATGAGTAAGTTTGCTAATGCTCTTATATATTAAGATCCACTAGAACTAAAAGATGTTGTATCTAATAATTTGAAAGAGTATATATTTTTGGCATAGAATTCAAAAATAATTATATTGAAGATATGTTCCTACGGATAAATTGAAAATAATAGATTCTATCATGGAGAGCGCCACAATTCTCTCGTGGAGAGCGTCCCCTTTCTATTGATTCTTATCTGTTTTACGCCAATTTCCGCTCTCGATTTATTCCCCCCTCTCAATCTTCAATCTCCCTTCTGTTTTAGCTTTTATTCAATCCATTTTTGCTGACTTTTGCCTATTAGGATTTCCCGATGGGTTCTTCGCAATGCATCGGGCAAGATGAGGAACTGACCCATCGATTACGAGTAGTCTCCTTATCAGACCGTGAAAATAACCTTATTGACATAGGCAAGAGTGACATAAAAATCAGTGACGAGCAAGCTTGGTAGGAGTCAAATGCTCTATGAGCAATATCTGGAGACAACAAGCTATGGAGATAAAAGAATTGGGCCCAAATTATTTCCAATTTATCTTCCAAAGTAGAGACGATCTCCTCCGTGTGGCCAAAGGAACAAATTGGATTTTCGACAACCAATACTTGATTTTGGCAGAATGGAGAAATGGCCTATCTATCACACACGATATCTTCTCTGAACTCAATATCTGGGTACAAGCCTTTAATGTTCCCCTCAATTGGCTTAGAACGGAAGTTGGGCTGAAAATTGGAGGCGTCTTCAAAAGGGTGAACAATGTTGTAGTTGTGGGAGCTGGAAACCATGGAGGACGTCTCATGAGGCCAAAAACGAGTTGACGATCGAGGAGAACATCCCGGTAAAGAAGTCGTCCGAACGCCAGACGACATGGACCCAAGACTTCAATTCAAGGACAAAAGTCAATATATTCGAGCAGAACCTATTGAAGATGTCGAGGTTATTTATCTAGATGAGTTGGTTCGTGAAAAACCTTTACGCATTGGAGCTAATCTTCAAGAACTGGTACGCACTCAGCTAATCAAGTTCCTTCAATCAAACCCCGACGTGTTCGCATGGAAGCATGAAGATATGAAAGGTATTGATCCCCAGAAAGCCTGTCACCGGTTCAATCTTGACAAAACTGTTAAACCTGTCATCCAAAAACATCGGAAGTTTGGACCTGACCGTCAAAAAGCTCTGGAAGAGGAAGTGAACAAGCTCATCGATAACAAATTCGTCAAAGAAGCCAAATACCCGACGTGGATATCAAACCCGGTATTAGTAAAAAAAACGGATTATGGCGCCTATGCATTGATTTCTCAGACTTAAACAAGGCTTGCCGGAAAGACAGTTATCCCGTTCCTCACATTGATTATATGGTAGATGCTACCTCGGTCCATCAGCTAATGAGTTTTCTAGACGCCTATTCCAGTTACAACCAAATTCCCATGCATCCGGACGACGTTGAACATACCTCGTTTTATTCGGCCCATGGTCTCTATTATTACGTTATGATGACTTTCGGACTGAAGAATGTCGAGGCCACATACCAAAGGTTAGTCAATAAAATGTTTGCCAACTTGATTGGGCATACAATGGAGGTATACATTGACGATATGTTGGTGAATTCGGAGCACGCAATCGATCACAGTGCTCATCTCACCGACGTCTTTAATATTCTTCGCGAGTACTCTATGGTGCTTTGTAACGCCCCGTTCGATTCATTTAATTTCCCGGAATAGTCTATTTATCGAATATTATTTATAAGGTTGTATTTATTTTATTAGTCGCGATGTCGACTTAAATAAGAGGTTGAAGTACTCGATCGTTTTATAGAAAAACGTTCGTCGATAGTCGATTTCGATTTAATCGCGTGATTCGTGTCTGAGCCCTTCGTTTATGAATAATTGTTGGGAATTTTATTTATTTATTTCATTAATATTATTATTATTATTGTAATTATTAAATAATTAATTACTATTAATTGTAATTACTGGTCTAAAATGCTTATTAATAGTATAAATAAATATTATTTGTCTAAATGATTATTTATTAATAAAATATTATTATGTATTATTGTGTATATATATTTGTCTGCTTCTATTTTAATTATTGCAGAGCCCGAATATTTGTTAGTTTGAACCGAGCCATTTTCATTGGCTAAGTAAAGCCCGAGAAAACCGCGCCTAGGCCCCAAACCCGCGCACCAAGCCCACCCGAACCAGACCTGGTTATATCTTGATGGGCAAGAAAATAAACCTAAGTTATCCCTCTTTTCTCTAGGGGTGAGCAAAACCGAGCCGAAACCGAAAAACCGAACGGAACCGATGTATTCGGTGCGGTTCGGTTCGGTTTTTTAAGGTTCGGTTTTCGGTGCGGTTAAACTTTTGGAAAACCGCACAAGTTTCGGTGCGATTCGGTTTTTTGTCCGAATGATGCGGTTTTAACCGAACCGCACCGAATATAGTTTTTTATTTTTTTATTATTATTTTTTTTTTACAAATATGAAATATGTTGACATGTTTGTATTGTAAATATACATGCTCATTTTAGGCCTTCAGTTTAGGATGACTAACATTAACAATAAATAAGTAAAGTAATAAATAATAACAATAACAATTAAAAATTAATAACATTACATTAAATCTAATTTCTTGCCTTAGTTTTTTT